TATTAAAAGTTTAATTCATTGTTAGTTTAATTCATTATTATATTTTGGGTTTATAATGTCTAACAACATATGGTATTTGTATAATAAAAATAATTTACATTAAACTACTTTTTAAGTTTATTTTATTTATTATATTCTAAATATGTAACCATTATGGTAGTGTCATAACAAAAACAATATTTTTTTTTATGTAATTTGACTATACTTGTAACTATTACTCATTAAGGTTATTTCATTTATTAGAAAAAATATAATAATATAAGATTGATACGTCTTACAAATGACATGTGTCATTTTAATTATAAATAACAATACATATAAAAAAAATTAATCTAGTAATTCTATTCATTAATTTTTAAATTTAAATTTAAATTTCCAAGCTAAAATTCATATAATACACAGAGTACTAGTTTAGATTATTTAAATTATTATTATTTTTTTGTTTAAATATAGCTTTATGTCATAATTGTTTTCCATGATCTTAATCTATTGTAAAAAAATTTCTGGAATTTCTTCTACATATAAGACAATACAATTTATTATTTAGTTGGATAATTAATCCAACTGGTCTGTCCAAAATATTTCATGTTATTTATATGGACTTTTCTCTTTAATAATATACTAATACGATATCCGTGTATTATATGAGTATTTTAAAAAATTTATAATTTACAAAAACAAAAAGTAAATTAATATATATTCTCAATGTTAAATTATAAACAACAAATGCACAATAAATAATAAAGAACTAACAAAGTGATATCAGTTAATGTGGAACCCGCGTTTTACACTCAATTTGTCGAAGAATATAATTTTTAATTACCTTTATAAAATTATATATGCTTAAAGTAAATAATATCTACAATGCCATAAATTAATTACCGGTTGATCCTCTTCTCGCCGCCGATTCGCCTTCCTCGGCGACGGCGACGCCTGGCTAGCGGTCTTCTCTGACTGCTCGGCCCGTCCCGGATGCCTCGCGCCCCGTGTTGCTGTAATTTTTGTGTGGCCTGCCCTTCATTCGCCGGTGGATTTGCGATTGGAGGTGGAGTTCCCCTGATCGGCGACCTGACGGCGTTTGGAGGTTCCCTCTCGGACACTAGTGGCTCGTCGTTTGGCAGAGGTAAGCCCCTCTATCACTGTTTCGTCTGTTGTTGAAGTCCCCCTCGGACTGCTCTGCTTCTCAGGTGGGGCGTCCGGTGGGGTTTGGTCGATGGTTGCCGGTTTTCTGTGGCGGCCTTGGGTGGTGAGTGGGTCTGCGGGCGGGTTAGGACTCTGGTGGCTGAGGCGTCCTTCGTCGGGGCTGCCGGAGTTGCAGGACCGGGCAGCTCTCATAACCTCCGGTTCTCTGGTGTTGGGGACTGGGTGGGTCTGGCGCTTCCGAGTTCGGCTAGTGGTGTTAGGCGAGGTTGGGTAGTGCAGGAGAAGGGAGCTGGTCTTGTTCTCTCGGTTTGGAGGTGGGTCGATTTGAGATGGGTTCGGGGCTCGGGTTCGGCTTCTGTATAGGCGGTATCGCAGTTTCGATAGCAGTTCCTCGGGCTTGGGATCTTCTTTGGTCGATTGTTTCTCTGTTGATTTGGGCTCGTCGGTTGGGTGAGGATTGGCATTTTCTATCGTATTTTATTTATTTTGATTTCGTTTTTTTGAGTCTGTGTTAGTATGTTCTTTGGTCTTGTATTTTTGGTTTGGGCCATTTTGTCTCTGTATTTTCTATCGTATTTTTCTATCGTATTTTTAGTTAATACAAAATACATATTTGTTATATTTAAATTAAATATATAATGATGAATATTTAGTTAATACGAAATGCACATTTAGTTCAACTATAGTGCATATTTGTTATATTTAAATAAAACATATATATGATGCATATTTAGTTTATTCTTAATGCATATTCAGTTCATACGAAATGCATATTTAGTTCATAAACAATGCATATTTAGTTCATGTGAGATCCAATCATATCTATTTATTTGTGTAGATCAATAACTTATATTAATCTATGGAAATTTAAATTAATTATATAGTAATAATTCATAATTATTATATTTTAATTAAATATACAAAGCACATTTTATTACATATTTTAGTCCATTCATGATGTATATTTAGCTCATAACATGTGCATATTTAGTTCATAACAGGTGCATACTTAGTTGATATTATTGGTGCATATTTAGTTCATAAGAATTGCATATGCAATTCATACCCCGTGCATATTTAGTTCATAATAAGTGCATAGTGCTGAGTGTATATTTACTTCATACATAATTCAAACTAAGGTCAATGATGGAAGTCAACGGTCAACGCCAGAGTCAATGGACAATGGTCAAAATAATATTTAAATAATTAAAATAATAAATTAAATAATAAAAATAAAGAATTATTATTTAAATAAAGTGTTAAATCTTGGCCATACATCTTGTACCAATCTTGTGGCTACAAATGAGTCTTACATACTCACTTTAAGTATGTAGACTCATTAATATGTAGTTGAAATATATAAGAGAATTTATTTTGTAATTTAAATTTGGGTTTCAAATTTAAATGTTAAATAAGTAATTATTCATAATTTACGGATCAATATTAACTTGGACGTAAATGGAATAGTCATTTATATATAGTATAATAAATTATTCAAATACTTATATTTTTTATTTGGATAGTTTATTGAAAAATAAATTCATTTTAATAAATGAAACAATATAAGTGTTATATTTATACTTAATATTCACATAAGTTTTTAAATATATGATAAAATTTAACCAAAATAATTATTTTATCGAATCACATTGTATTCAAATCGTATTTCTGAATAAAAATTCTGAAACAAGACTTATTTTGAAATAAATATAATGTAGTTTATTATCAGTTATGTGCACCGCACATGTTGTGTACTAATTTTAAATTGACATGTTTTATGTAATTTTGCACAATTTAAGTTCCATGTAATATTTTCTACAAATTAAGTTAATATAGGTAAATCTATATATATATAATAAGAATTACCATTTACCAAAAATAGTAGCAAAAAAATAAGTAAGAATTTAATGCAGCCCATAAATAGTAAGTTTTATTATTTTTCTTATTTTTTTAAAAAAATATACAACATTAAATGCTACCTTAAATTTCAGAGTTTAGTTCATTTTATTATTTAAAAAATCCGGCTAAGATTTATTAAGTGTGTATGCTTTTATTTTTATTTTTTTCTTAGAAACAACGAACAACATTAAAATCTAGGTCTCTATATTTATAAAATCTCAATTCAAAATATAACAAAAATTTTAGAATCTCGATCTTTATACTTGTGCCTTTAAAAAAAAATATTGAACGCTAAAAATATTCTTTAAATTGCATAATCAATCAATTAATCTTAATTTTTTGAAAATAACAATGCTATTTTTTATTAATATGTATAAAGTAAAAATAATTAGTTCATCTTTAGATATATTATTTATAATCTTAGTATACTATCATTTGGTGTAGACATTTATTATATGAATCATAAAATATTTTTATTTCATAAAATTAAATATATTTAAAGAAAATAAAAATATTTCTTCAGGATCAATCAGGTGATTGAACTAGGGTAGTGCCCAAGTTGAGTGAATTACTTTTACATGATAGTTAAAATAGTAAAAAAAACTTGATACAACTTGGTTGGTCCCAGGTGACTAAGTTATTTATAAGTTCGACCACACTAAATCGATTATTGAACCTAAATATAAATTTTATATTGAAAATATTTTATTACGTGAATGTGATGTAGTCCAAACTTCAAATATTCGTATTAACAATACTTTTATGACAACATGTTTAATGATTTATGAATATTTATATATCATTTTATTAATATTTATGTGAATTAAATAATATTTTATTATAATATTTATTAATGTACGTACAGTAAATATAATGTTTGCAGGACTGGACCGTCATCGAAACGATCAAGCTATTTTATTAAATCATTTGTAGTTTGTTCAGATATTAATTTATAAACATTTTAATATATATATATATATATATATATATATATATATATGTAGTACTTTTTGTAATAAATTTAAATAAAATGTGTTACTTAGATATCTAAACAATTCATAAATTCAAATGTTTAAACTAATTGATAAATAATTTATAAATCTCTATTTTATTTAAATATAGAATTTTATTTAAAATAAATTTATTTAGAAATTTTTATCGATCATACCAGTCCAACCAACTGGTGTTGACGGATTCGAGAGCAAATATTTTATTTAAGCGAACTAGACTGGTTATAAACCGGTTCTCGGCTCATCCGGTCAGACTGTGCCCAACCTGGTTTAATTTAAAAACAATAGATAAATCATGATTAATATTATTTATATATTTAATTTATAATACAATCGTAATATTGTTTTCCTGTGCATCGCACGGGCCACGCACTAGTTGTATTACATATCGATTCCATATTTTTAATTTATAAATATTTTTTTAATTATATTCATAACAAACATTAATTTAAAATTATTGATTTCGGTTAAGATATGTCCGTTAATAATTCGTAAAAAAAGGAGCTTTAAAGTTTGAGCTAATTTATCTGATTGAAATTTTTAATAATCCATTTTTCTTATATATCAGTTGGAAAAAGAAGTTGTACGACAAAAGCTATTCAATTTGATTCACTTGTTTACAATTTTAGTAGGATAGTTATTTTTTTTTTCCCAAGGAAAACAAACAAACTTTATAACTCAAATACGAAGTCTGATACAACGATCAATCAACAGATTACACACCTTGTATAACCGAAAAAATTACACCAGGGACACGAGAGAAGTTGCACCTCAGCCTCAAAGCTCAACAAGGTCTACAAGTCTCTAACACTAAAAAACCAAACAAACTACAATATTACAAATAACAAACAGAGCACTAATCTCCTCCACCAGGGCTGCATGGCAACTACTGATAGGCTCCGATTTATTCAGAAGCTTCAAAGCCATTGCATTGTTTAGGTAACAAGTTCAAGTTTTCACCTTAAGCTCTTTGTAGTGGCCCAAGCTCCATTTTACAGCTCGCAAAGATGCTCCTGTTTCATCCATGCTGCCTGTTATACTTGCAATTGTACCCTCTCAATGCACCTTGTTGCTGAGTCATTTGTGCCTGTGGAACTCACTTCAACCTTACCTTCTTCAGATGGCTGAGCACTAATGGCTAACCATGGATGTCCTACTCTCCCTGAAGCTCCATCTGAATTAGGTTCGGTGCCTCTCATCAGCCTGTGTGATTCCCATTCCAACCATTCTGCATGAGCTTTCCTGACAATGTCCTGCTCATTGAACCAGTCACCCTTGAAGACCCATTTATTTCTGGCCTTCCATAAATTCCAGAGCAAATGAACAGAATAAATGAGCCTCTCCTTCAAGTTAGCAGACATTCTTTTGGAACAAATCTCCATCCACCATTGCTGAAAATTCACAGACCCAGTGTGCAACAGATCCCAATCTACCCCACTCAGAATTCAACACATTTTGGATTTTTGACATTTGAAGAACAAGTGGGTTAAGTCCTCTACCCCTTCCCCACAGACCTTGCAAATAGTATCTACTAATATCCCCTTCCTAACCAACTGACTTGTCAGTCCTAAGAATTCATACCAACACTTCCATATAAAGTACTTGAGTTTGGGTTTAATATCTAAGTGCCATGTAGTCTGCCACATTTTCCTCCACCATTTAGGAGTTCCACTGGTTGATGCCTGATTATGCCCTCTATTTTTAGCTTCCAAGATGGTTTGATACACTGCCTTAGTGGTGAACACCCCTTTCTTACCCCAATTCCATATCAACCTATCACTCTTTTCCTCACTAGACAAAGGAAGTCCAAGGATAATGGCAGCATCTGTGGGTTCAAATGTGTTGTGTTTAGTTGTAATTTATGCTAAGTAATTTAATAAATGTATTGATTGAGCAAACTGTAACTGATAAGAATGAGAACGAGAGGGGGGGGAGAATAGAGACTTGAGGAAGAAGATGAGTGTAACAACAAATTTCGTGTATTGAATTTAAAAACACGAAAAATATTATTCAAATGAATTTCTTGAATCAAAATAAATATAATGGGTTACAATCTCTAATTTCTCCTCTGATTCTTCTCACGAACAATTTTAAGTCTTGGAGCGAAATCTTCAGCTTGATCTTCTCCTTGACTTGATTTGACTTGAATTAACGTTAATCCGAGGGCCAACGCCTTGATTTCGGATCAAACGTCGAAATATCCCAAGAACGCGAAGAACACGAATCCTTGGTCTTCGTCGCAAAGTAGATCTCGAATCTTCTCTACGCCGGTTTTGAATTTACTAACGTTATTCGGAGGCTTTGCAGCTTGTTTCCGGATTAAACGCCAGTCTTGAGGTTGGATGCGCTTGAATCTTACTTCGAATCTTCAAGAACGCCTTTGAATCTTCAAGAACACTTGAATCTCGTCGAGAGAATTCTCTAGAGCTCTTGAACTTTGAATATGAAATATGATGTGTGTTTTTTTGACATTAGGGAGAGTCCCTATTTATAGGTGTAGGATGGAGAACCCTACCAAATTTAAGAATCGTAGGACACGATTTGATTGGTCCATGATGATTCACATAAGATCTTTTAGATCTACTTAGATCTTCCAAGATCTTCTAGATGCCATATGATTTATTACCAAGAATTAAGATTTGACACTTGACATTATTTGATTGGTCAAGAATTAAAATATTAAAATATCAATTAATTAACTATTTAAAATTAGGAATTAAATTTATGGAAATTCCTAAAATATAAATAGAAAATATGACTTGATTTTTAATAAATTAATTTCCACGTGGCGCCATTTGATTGGCCACAATTTTTATGTCTCTACAAATGCCCCCTCGAGACTTGTTCACGGACGACGTGTCTTGGAGTGAATGAGTCGCGACATCATTTATCGGGCTTAGAAGACGTGATATGAACTTACGAGGACCAAGAAAGCTCAAATTGATAAACTTACCATGTGTATCAAATGGCCCAAAGCTTGAATTCATTTAAATGTCCCATATGTTGGGCCCAATTCTTTGAAATCCATGGCTAACCTCAAAATTAAAATGACCCAATCATTGAGCACAAAGAAAGGCCCAAATTTGAGAATTTAGAAAATGTCCATATAAAACATTATGGCAGCTACACTTAGCCAAATTTCGAGCCCATTTTCTTTCAATTTTCATCAAATAATATTCCAAATCCTGGAGAACCCTTTACCAAATTAATTTGTTTCCCTAAACAATTGTTAACCACATGTCCCTTACATTTTTGGGTTAGGCATTACTCATTTCTACGACACATGAGCAGACCATTAGTAATCACCAATCATAGGAATAATTCTCAAAACATGTAAAGAAATTATTCCCAACTTCAAAATTCTGAAACATATACGTTCATGGCAAATTATGGAAGACTAGTATATATTTTCTTTCCATCTTCAAAATAAACAACGTGGCCAATTCCTCCTCAAATTAGGAGACAAATTTTCCTAAATTCACATAGTGAATCCTCTCTTTTAGAGGACAAAGCATCACTTTCTGTATCTATAAATAGGCCTTCACTTCTCAATTCTTTTTTCACATTCGAAGCCCGACAGGTACTTCAGCTTTTCTTCTACTTTTTTTTTCGTGATACTCTTTTTCTTTTGGTTATTGAGTGCTGAACTATGTTCCTCTTTTTCTTTTGATTATCGGGCGTATTACATAACAGAATCCGTAAGCACCATCTCTCAAGCTTTTGACTGCAAGCTGTTCGACAGATTGGCCGAAAGGTAATAGCAAACTGATTTTTCATTATCTTCCCGTTCCGTCTTCTTTCTTTCTGTTACATTTATGTTCGAGTTATCATTCGGGATATCCGCAAAGCTTGTCGGGACGCTCTTATTGCTGTCGGGGCTTCTTACGAGATGTCGGGGCTTCATATGGGCTGAAACGGAGTGGCTCGGGTGCTGTCCGGACCGAAACGACTGTGTTCTGGTGCTGTTCGGGCTGAAACGAGGCGATTCGGGGCTGTTTTGGAGCTGTTCGGGCCGAAACGGGGCTGTTTGGGAGCTGTTCGGGCCGAAACGGGGCTGTTTTGGAGCTGTTCGGGCCGAAACGGGGCTGTTTTGGAGCTGTTCGGGCCGAAACGATGCTATTTTGGAGCTGTTCGGGCCGAAACGGGGCTGTTTTGGAGCTGTTCGGGCCGAAACGGGGCTGTTTTGGAGCCGTTTGAGTTGATTCGGGGCTGTTTTGGAGCCGTTTGAGTTGATTCGGGGCTGTTTTGGAGCCGTTTGCTGCTCTTTTTCTTTCCTCTTACCCCTTTTTCTTTTGATTAATCACGTCTTTTATTTATTTTTTCTTTTAGTGCGTGGCCCGTTTTTGTCGACATCAAGCTTTCAAGTTTCGAGCAAATTTCTTTGAGGAAATACTTGTAAGTCAATTTACCGAACTTATTCAATCTAAGCTACTTAGCTCTCTTTTCTATTCTAATCTCAAATTTTATTCTAACTCTTGTGATTTCAGCAAACAAGATGGTCTACTTTACAAGCACTTGTATCCGGGAAAAAAGATATCTAGTAGTCCTCGACACCAAGTACCAACCGCTAGAGAAAGGGACCCGTTTTGCAGTTGAAGACCCAATCATTGGTGATTTTTCCAAGACGTGGCCAAAAGTTAAAAACTCCATGAGCGAGTGGACTCAAGAGTGTGCCTACGGGAAGTCCAAAGCATGGATCTTGCAAGCGACTCACCACAACCAGCAGAACGAGACAGAGCTGTCGCCATTGCCTACTTTAGGACGACGCATCACACGAGGTGAAGCTGCATGGGGAGAAGCCATCAACTTTGCCGGCGAATTTCACTACACGCGAGGATACTGGGAATGGACTGAAGACATACTTAGCCGGTGCAAGAGCAACCTAATCAAGGCAGAGATCTATGATGCTGTTTACGCTTCGCTTTTCACCTACGACTGCAATCCCGAGATCATCAAGGCATTCTGCGAGGCGTGGTGTCCTTCTACCAACACACTTTTAACATCTTCCGGGGAGCTTTCAATTTCGCTATGGGACCTACATACATTAGCAGGACTTCCATCGAGTGGGTTTATTTTCGACGAGGTGGTGCCGGATGTAGACGAGTTGGTCGGGATCAACAAAGACAAGAATTTATGCCTCCCCCGCTGCTGCAGATACCTTTTCCACGCCTATCATTTATTGTGCAAAGAAACCGGCGACAGACAAGTGTCAATCGATCGATGGGTGCAATTTTGGTCGAAGAAGCCCATCAAATACAAACAACCCCCCAATCGTGCTGACAAGAGGAACGGAGAGAAGAAGAGGATAATTCGCCTCAAGTCAACCTATAATCCGCCCGGCACCTTCGAAGAACATCGACGCTGGACCTCCGCCGAAGATCTATTGTTCAAGAAGATGGTCGTGACCGAGTCAAAGCTGCAAGAAGAAATTCATTTGGCGGCCTACCTCTCCTGTTGGATATGCACATTCGTTCTTCCTAACAACGATGTCGACATAATTCGTCCGGGCACCTTCAAGATGGCAAGCATGATGGTCAAGGGTCAGACGGTTGGTCTCGCGGTTCCGGTGTTGACGAGCATCTACAAGGGGCTGAACGAATTTACAAGCTGCATAAGTCCATCTCGATCGATTTTTCCCGTCCACTTTGTTTACGGCTGGCTGGCACTCTATTTTAAAACTCACTTCGCAATTGGTCAGACGCGCAAGCCCATGATGGTGACATATTCCGGTGAGAACGGCGCAAGACACTTTGAGCCCGAGGAAGCCCGCAGACGTATCCACAAGGGGGACTCCGCTTTATGGACTTGCAATATCATCATCAATGACCAGACTTCCCGATACGTCGATGATCAACGAAGACCTGGATACGAATGGAGATACTTCATGGCGATTCGGTCTAACTACCTAACGTGGCGTCAAGGCAATCGCTTTTTTATAGAGCCATATAGTCCTCATCGATTCAGTCGTCAATTTGGGTATTATCAAGATGTTCCCGGCATTTTGAAGAAAGACTTTCGTGAGGGCTCTCTCGACGATGGCATTCACTATTGGCAACTGAGCGTTCTATGCGGATCCTTATCCAAAGCTTCATTGCCTTGTGCCTCAACAAATGCGAAGAAATCAACACCAGCTTACAAGTCATGGTGGCACCAAGTTCATGGAGGCTATCTTGAGCGCCATATAGAGGATTTACTTGCATCAAAGCCCAAAGTGATATCTTCGAAAGACAAGGAGCTAGTTGTTGACGAGGGTGATCCTGCAAGTGAAGATGATGATGCGCTTCTCGCCAGAATTCCTGGGAACAGCAAGAGAAAGAGTGGGTCCACCTCTTTAGTAGAAAGTAGCAATCCCGATCGACATTGGAAGAGAACAAAGCGAACGACTGATTCTTCGCAGCACGTGGAGAAAACAGTCGAAAATCAACATGAGACAGAGGACCTCATTGCTAAGGTTTTCCCAAGTCTATATCTTCTTCTTTTACTCCTACCTCGAGTTCTCTTTCTAATGGATATACATTTTTCATTTCTGCTTTTCAGGCTCAACGGGACGTCTTTGGTTCTGACGATGACGAAGAGTCTCAAGACGATGAAGCGACTTCCGTAGCAAATGTTCCAACGTGTGCGAAGAAACTTACTGCTCAACAAAATCTTCATACTCCAGCCGCTTCAGAGTTTAAAGGGGAGAAGTTCATTCTTGACCGTCAAAAGAAGTATCTTCAAGGCATGTGGCACGACCTCCGTGACAAGGTCATGGCGACTCCTATCGATTTCTTGTCTTCCATAAAAGAAGAGGTGTCACTCGTTTTTGATGCTATGAGGCAATGCGACAAGTGTGACCTTTCCACTATTGAGAGCTCATTTAAGGTTTTGTTTGACAACGCCGACTCTTATGACGGAGTACGGTCTAAATCTTCGGAGAAGGCGACGAAGGAACATATTGCTCGACAGTTGGCCGAGGCTAAAGATCGTCTTTGTGAAGATAAGGCGAAAGAAGATACTGAATCAAATCAAGTGAAGTCCACTCAGGATGAGCTAAAGCGAGTCACGGAAGAGCTTGAGCAGTTGAAGACAAAGGCAGAAACACTATCCAAGACATTGAAGCAGCAGCAGGAGTCACTCGACAGTGCCAAGGCCCAGGTGAAATTAACTCAAGAGAATATCCTCGCCATCAGCAGTGCTCCATCGTTGGACGAAGAAGTGGTTGAACAGTTGAAGATGTTGAAGTCAAATTTGAAGGCGACTAAAGAGAAACTAGGAAGCTTGAATCTTTTTGTTTAGTGATGTTTGCGACTCTTTTGCTTATTTCTTCATGTAATAAGACTCAAGGTTATGGAATGGAATGATTCGTTTCTTTTTACATCGTGCAATCTCAATCTCGAACATTAGCATTTGTTGCACTTCATTTCCTCGCCAAATCAATCAAAATTGACTAACTTAGAAGACGAACATAATTTATGACTGAACTTAGAAAATATCTAAGCTGCCTACGTACCTTTTAAAAGGATCAAGTCAAAACGTAGTTCAAAGTAACATGAATTTGTTTAGGGGGGGTGCCGTACACAGTTTATACTCATGCGGGCCAGGAGTGACTATTCTTTAACTACTTTTAGACAAAGTAGAGTATTAGGTTTAACCACATAACACCTTAGTGGAGAATTAACAGTTTAACCACATATATTCACATTGGTGGAGAATTTTAGCAGTTTAATCACATGCAAAGCTTTTTGGTGATTACCGTTCACAGTTTATACTCATGCGGGTCAGGAGTTCTTCTTCTCTTTTTTGGTTTTTTTTTTTTCTTTTTTTTTTAATTAATACATAGTACAACTAAGCGTAGTAGCGTTTCAAGAATTTCCCATTGATAGGGCCAATCTTGACTCGATCCTCCGAAATCAACTTATACGCGCCATTGGTGTAGACTTCCGTGACGACATACGGTCCATCCCATCTTGACACGAATTTGTTCCCAACACGATGAGTAGTTATGATGGGTCTTCTCACAGCAAGCACCAGATCTCCTACTTGAAAAGAACGAGCTCGGACCTTCTTATTGAACGACTTTGAAAGACGAGCTTGATAACATTCAAGTCTTTGTTGCGCTTCCAACCTCCTCTCATCAAGAGCTTCTAATTCCTGAAGGCGCAGTCGTGCATTATCTTCTTCAGTCAACCCTTCTTGTATGGCGATCCTCAATGATGGAATTTGTTGCTCGAGAGGAACGACAGCTTCAACACCATATACAAGTGAGTACGGGGTCGCTTGAGTGGGAGTCCGATAAGTGGTGCGATACGCCCAAAGCGCTTCATGAATTCTTTCGTGCCAATCCTTCTTTGACTTAGCTACGACCTTCTTCAAAAGACTACATAAAGTCTTATTGAACGCTTCAGCGAGTCCATTGGCCGCCGCATTGTACATAGAAGACTTTCTTTGCTTAAAGTTGAACTTCTCGCAAAGCTTATCGATTAGGCTGTTGCTGAAAGGCTTTCCATTATCCGTTATGATGTACCGTGGGATTCCATATCGGTAGATGATGTTTACACGAATGAAGTCAGCAACATTTTCTTTCTTCACTTCCTTCAAGGGAACCGCTTCAGCCCATTTTGAGAAGTAGTCAGTCGCAGCCAGAATATAAAGATGACCACCCGAAGACTTTGTCAGAGGACCAACCACATCTAATCCCCAAGCATCAAAAGGCCATGAAGCAACAGTAGGGTGCAACGGCTCAGGAGGTTGATGGATCAAATTTGCATGATATTGACACGCTTGACATCTTTGGGCATAATCCATACAATCTCTAACCATTGTCGGCCAGTAGTATCCCATTCTCTTAATTCGAAAGTGCAACTTCGGACCAGACTGATGAGCGCCACAGATGCCCGAGTGAGCCTCTTCAATAGCTTGAGCAGCTTCTTCGTCGCCTAGGCATCTTAAGAATACTCCATCGAACGATCGTCTATACAATACATCATTGAAATAAATGAAGCGAGGCGCGCGACGTCGAATATCAACCCTTTGTCGTGGATCATTGGGCAACTTGTCATACTTCAAGTAATCCACGAGCAATTGACGCCAATCTTCCTTTTCAATATCGAAAACTTCAACCACATGTGTTTCATCTTCATTCCAATCATCATCGTCGAAAATCGGAGGTATAACCCAACTTCTACAAATTTGCACTCGAGCCCTATCCTCAGGAAGGATGAGTGAAGAAGCGAGTTTCGCTAAAGCATCTGCTTGTTTATTATTCTTCCTCGGCACATGTTCGATCGTAACATCTCCAAGCCATCCCATGAGCCTATTCGCATAGTCGACGTACGGGAGCAGCTCAGGCTTCTTTACATCGTATTCTCCAAGAAGTTGGTTTACCACCAGCTTTGAATCTCCATAGACCTTCAGATGTAGTTGCTTCATGTCCACGGCCATCTCCAACCCCAGGATTAGAGCTTGATACTCTGCGACGTTGTTTGAGCAATTTTCAGTTAAAGTGAAGGAATACGGAAGCACTTCTCCATGGGATGTCACAAAGACAACTCCAGCACCAGCTCCTTCTCTATGAGACGCTCCATCAAAGTACATCTTCCAAGGAGGAGCAATTTCGACGAGAAGAACATCCTCATCAGGTAGCTCATCGGACAACTCCCACTCAGCAGGAATAGGGTGATCGGCTAAGAAGTCCGCCAGAACTTGTCCTTTTACCGCCTTTTGAGGGATGTAGACAATTTCGAACTGTTGAAGTTGAAGATACCACCTAGCTAAACGGTCTGAGAGGACGGGTCTTGTCATGACATATTTCAATGGATTTGCCCTTGAAACAAGACGAACCGTATGAGCTTGAAAATAGTGCTTCAACTTTTGAATTGCAAAGATCAGCGCCAAACAGATTTTCTCGATAGGTGAATAGTTCAACTCATTTGGTGTCATCGTTCTGCTCAAATAATATAAGGCGCTCTCCTTTCCATTTTCATTTTCTTGAGCCAGCAGAGCTCCAACAGAACGTTCTTGTGCTGCTATGTAGAGAATAAGAGGACGACCAGCCACTGGTGCGACTAACACGGGAGACTTCATCAAATATGTCTTTATGCTTTCAAAAGCATTTGTACAAGATTGATCCCACTCAAAAGGAACACCTTTCTTCATTAGATGACTAAAAGGTTGGCATCGTCCGGCTAAATTTGAGATGAACCTTCGAAGGTATGCCAACTTCCCTTGTAGACTTTTAAGCTCATGAATGTTGCGAGGCTCGGGCATTCTTAGTATCGCATCGACTTTTGCTTGCTCGATTTCTATTCCACGATGACGGACAATGAATCCAAGAAACTTCCCCGACTTAACACCAAATGCACACTTCAACGGGTTCATTTTGAGTTGATATCTTCTCAGGCGTTCAAAAACCATTCTTAAATCTTCGAGGTGGTCTTCTCGCTTCTTCGACTTCACCACCACATCATCAACATAGCACTCGATGTTCTTGTGTAGTATATCGTCAAATATCTTTTGCATTGCCCTTTGATATGTAGCTCCCGCGTTCTTCAAGCCGAATGGCATCACCTTATAGCAGTATATGCCCTTTGGAGTGCGAAATGCCGTCAACTCTTCGTCTTTCGGCGACATGCGTATTTGGTTGTATCCTGACGAACCATCCATAAAAGACAACGCTTCATGTCCCGTCGTAGCATCGATCATGAGTTCAGTTATAGGCAATGGGAAGTCGTCCTTGGGACACGCTTCGTTAAGATCTCGAAAATCTACGCAAACTCGAATTTGACCATTTTTCTTCCTGACAGGAACGATGCTCGAGATCCACGTAGGATATTTGACCTCCCGAATGAAACCAACTTCAATGAGTTTATTCACTTCTGCTTCAATCAACGGGATCAACTCGGGACGAAATCTTCTTTGTGCTTGTTTAACAGGTTTTGCCCCCTTTCTCACGGACAGATTATGCACCGCCACCTTTGGGTCTAGTCCAGGCATCTCTTTATACGACCATGCAAACACATCCTTAAACTCACCAAGGAGCTCTATGTAGGCCTTCTTTTCATCTACACTTAACAAGGCGCTAATGTATGTTGGGCGAGGATCATCAACATCACCCAAGTTGATTTCTTTTAGTTCATCGACTGTGGCCTTAACACCTTCTTCAAGCTCGGGAGGTGCGTCTTCAGCGTCTTCCTCTTCTATCAGAGTATCCTCACATATAGTGATGTGGTTCACAAGTGCAATATCTTCGATCGGCTCACTAGGAGTTTTGAAGTCGATGCATGGTCTCACACGTCCATTTCTTCCTGCGACAAATCGTGTCTGCAGATTTTCATCAACTCCAGTGATATACCCTTTTCTCACTAAATAAGCTATTTTTCGGTAAAGAGAACTTCCATCATCTCGAGGAGTTGCAAGAGTACCGCAAGCATAGTAAGACGAAGCGACACTTTCTCTATCTTCACCTTCATCATCCTGCACTCTTGTATGAACGATCGTGTGCTCAACAACTTCCCCACATGATATGATTAAGGTAGTTTGACGCTTCATGCATGACGGAATCCAACTTCTAAGCTTTGGAGCCGGGCCCGCGCCTCTTTCTTGTCTTAAAGGCCTTGACGGTTTAGATGATCCAAGTCGCTTAAACACAGATTGTTTGCCCCTAGACTTCTGAA